AAACTTTAGCTGGGCATGGTGGCACATGCCTGTAATCCCAGCTACTCAGGAGGCTGAAGCAAGGAGAATTGCTTGAGCCCAGAAGTCAGAGGTTGCAGTGAGCCAAGATTGTACCACTGCACACTACCCTAGGCCAGAGCGAGACTCTGTCATAAAAAAAGAAAAAAAAAAAGATACCTCTGTGAACTGAATTCAGCCCCGGGGTACCTCTGAGGGTACACAGCAACTTAGAGGGAAAGATTTCTCTTGGGGGCAGTATGGAGCTAATAATATCCCTTGGCCTGGCATGGCGGCTCATGCCTTTAATCCTTTCACTTTGGGAGGCCAAGGCGGGAGGACTACTTGAAGCCAGGAGTTCAACACTAGCCTGGGTAAATAGTGAGACTCCCATCTCTACAAAAAATTTAAAAATTGAGGTTAAGGCAGGAGGATTACTGGAGCCCAGAAAGTTGAGGCTGCAGTGACCTAGAATCACACCATGCACTCTGACCTGGGTGACAGAGTTTGAGTCCAATCTCTCAAAATATTCATCATAATAATAATATCCCTTTATGTTGTGAAAAGATCTCTACAGAGCCAGGAGATCTCTGTCTCTTGATCTTCATCCCAAATCTATTTTGCTTTTGATTCAGCCAAGCCAAACTAAGTATTTAGGTCCTGTGCTAAGATGGTCAGGCCCCCAAAAATGGAGAATTTGAATGATGAAATAAAGTATGAATAACTACTGTTAAGCACTTCCTTGGAAGGCTCAGTATAGGGTTAAAAACAGGATTTGGAAACAGAGAAAGCCAAGTCTCCATTCCTAATCAGCAACTTACCAGATGTATGACCTTGGCTAAATTAATTTACCTATAAAATAGGGGCAATATTCTTGCAGTGGTGGTGATTATATGAAAGAGTGCATGTAAAATCCTTGCAAATTAACATTTATTGACTGTCTACCATGTCCTAGACTATTTAAAATGCTGTGTATAGTACTTTTTTCCCTTTATTTTTTGAGACAGTCTCACTCTGTCCCTCTGGCTGAAGTGCAGTGGCGTAATCTTGGCTCACTGCAACCTCTGTCTCCCAGGTTCAAGCAATTCTCATGCCTCAGCCACTCGAGTAGCTGGGATTACGAGCACGTGCCACCACGCCTGGCTTATTTTTGTATTTTTAGTCAAGATGGGGGGGGTCTCACCATGTTGGCCAGGCTGGTCTCGAACTGCTGACCTCAGGTGATCTGCTATCCTGGCCTCCAGAAATGCTGGGATTACAAGCATGAGCCACTGTCTACTGTACTTACACCTCCAGGAGAAGCAGGGCTGCACTGAAGTGGAGACAAGGGATGAAGGTGAAGGGAGAGAAGCATTCCAGATGGGAGCACTTAGCATCTGGCAAATGAGCAAAAGTGATGCTTTCAGAGGAAGTTCACATTTCACTGTAGAAGCCCAAGCAGCGGCTGGGCACGGTGGCTCACGCCTGTAATCCCAGCACTTTGGGAAGCTGAGGTGGGCAGATCACCTGAGGTCAGGAGTCAGAGACCAGCCTGGCCAACATGGCAAAAACTCATCTCTACTAAAAATACAAAAATTAGCCAGGTGTGGTGGCATGCACCTGTAATCCCAGCTACTCAGGAGGCTGAGGCGGGAGACTTCCTTGAACCCGGGAGGCAGAGGTTGCAGTGAGCCAAGATCGTGCCACTGCATTCCAGCCTCTCTAGCCTGAGAGACACAGGAAAACT